AATCTTTACGGGAGTATAAAGCCTTATCTTTCTCCCACGGAGCGGCTGGTAGTTTTGAACCGCTGACCTTACGGTTCACAGCCCAATTCGTAACCACTATGCTACCAGAGCTCCTTTGGTAGCGTAGTGGTTACGAATTGGGCTGCTAATCTCCAGGTCAGCTGTTCAAAACTATCAGCAGTTCTATGGGAGAAAGATGAGGCTTTCTGCTCCCTTAAAGATTTACAGTCTCAGAAACTCTGTACAGGGTCGCTATGGGTTGGAACCGACTCGACGGCACTTAACAGCACTCTTTCCACTTCAAGATGTGGCCACCTCTATAGTAATTGGGCAGCTTCCCCTCTTCATGTTAGCAAGTTAATTGTGTGAAGGATTGGAGATTTGAATAATAAAATCCCCACTGTACTATTTCCTGAATACTTCACTTGAAAGGGAGTTGAACTTGATATTTACATGGCATTTCAGCAAATGCTATCTTGCTTCTGAAATAAGTGCCACAATTCAGGTGAGAATTTATTTTTAAAGATTGAAGTTGAAGGAAATCCTGATCAGTTATTTGGTTGTTGACATATACATTCTATTACATATACAACATACATTACAAACACATGACATTACAAGGCAAGAAGCTGTGACTGAGTAGAGCTCCTCTGTAGGGTTTTATAGGCTATCATCTGGGCAGGAAAAGACTGCCAGATCTCTCTCCCCTAAAGTGGCCCTATGGCTTTGAACTCTGAACCTTTTGATTAGTAGTGGAGTGATAGACCAGTGTGCCACCAAGGGATCCTTGCAATAATATTGTTGTTGTTTAGTGCCATCCAGACAGTTCCAACTCATAGCGATCCTCTACAGGGTTTCCAAGGAGTTGCTAGTGGGTCTAAACAATGACTTTGAGGTTAGTCGTCCAGTGCCTATCCTAAAGCACCACACCAGGACCCCTGGAATAATATTTGTTGTTTGTTGCTAAGTGCTGTCCAATAGATTATGACTCAAATAGGTATAGAGTTTCTGAGGAGCAGCTTGTAGGTTTGAACTGCTGACCTTCTTAGCAGTCTTGTGCTTATCATACTGTGCCACACCAGGACTAATGGTAGTACCTATTAGATTGGTTTCTTGTGAGGAGTAAAGAAGTTATCATCTGAATAGTTCTTAGTGCAGTGGCTAGCACATAGTAAATGCTCTATAAATGATTGTTTTTATTGTGGTAATGGAAAGCCTATTGCCTTCTATTGCTCTTCAGTGGCTTTTAGGGAGTGGCAGTTCTGTTTGTTTGTTTCTTTATTTTTAGATGGAGAATTCCCTGAGATCCTTGGGGAGAGAGACCTAGAATAGCATGGGGTGTATTTATAACTCCTGAGGAGTAACAGGCCCGTTACCCTGCAGCCTGCTGGGTGCATTAACTCTGCAGGCACTGAAGGCCCTTCCCACTGGGCTTCTCTGTTTTACCCCTTCACAAAGGAAACAGCCTCCTGGCAGACTTCAGAATGGAAGTGGAAGAGCTCCCTCCCACCTCACTCTGAAAAGCAAATATGGCCCTAGTTACTAGGTGTAAGGATATGAATGATACATATAGTGGTTAAGGTATATGTTCCAGGTTCATTTCCCAGCTTGTCTTCTAACTTCATGGCCTAGGGCAAGTTACTTCTGTATCTCTGTTCGCTATCATTACAACGGAAATAAAAATAGTCCTGAATAAATATAGCCCCTATTTCATGGTATGGAATCCTGGTGTGGCAGTATAGGATGAGCACTGGACTGCTAACCTAAAGGTCAGTGGTACAAGCCCATCAGACACCCTTTGGAAACCCTGTACAGGTTCACTGTGAGTTGGAACTGACTCGATGGCACTTAACAACACTTCATGATATTGCTGCAATCAATAAAGGAGACGATATATGTTTAGTAAATGGGAACTGTTATAATTACCATTATAAATATTGTTTCATGAACAGAATCTGTCCTCTGTGGATGTGAGTCCTGCGGGTGGGGAGGGAGAGAGTTAAGGCACCCATACCAGGAAATGAATGAAGCCCAATTATTGATTTTGTAGATGGAGAAATATTCATGGTTCAACTCATGCAGTTTGAAATGGATGACTTGTGACTACTTAAGTTTGTTAAAACAGGCCTAAGAAAACAAATTGAGTGGAATCTCAAAGAGTTGGAAAGAGCTCCAGTAAACGGCTAATCTAAACCTCCCTCCCCTATGTGTATCCCTGACTACCTCCCAGGTGCTTATTCAGAAACATAAGGTCACTGTGAGTTAAGTCTTAACTCACAGTGACCTTATGCCCAGCAGAAGGAACCATTGACTTGTCCTACACCCTCCTCACTATTGTGTCTGCGTTTGAGCCCATTGTTGCAGTTAGAAGTTGGAGGGTATTTAGCTTTGATCCAGTTTTACTCTGCCCTGACTCTCCCATATATTATGATCCATCTCACAGCAGAATGCCATGCACAGGAGATTGCTCGTTGAATTGGTTTGAGACAAAGCAGAGGCATCTCTGAGGTTTAGACAGGTTTTTAAATTTTATTTTATCTTTTACAGTGTATTAGAGTATTGATGGGAAATCTAGTTTTTTTTCCTAAGAGTTACTCCTTTGGATCCTACCATAGTGTTTGGCACAAGCAATAGAATTGAGTGAGTTGACAACAATGTGCTCTCATCAGTGGGGTAAATGGATCAAATGAACATGCCTATTGGCCAGGAACTTTAGAGTCATGGAATTTTGCAGCTAGAAAAGATTTGGGAAATGATCCAGATCTTAGAAATTATCTAAAAATGAGGGAAAAGAGGCCGAGAGGATAAGAGAATTGGCCATAGGGACCCTAGGTACTTAATGTGAAAACACAGATTAAGAGTATGTGTCACCATTGCTCTGGTTCTTCAGCATAGTGATTAAGACTATAGGCTGTAGACACAGGCTGCCTTGATTCTAGTCTTGGCTCTGTCCCTTATTAACAGTATTATCTTCTTCAGTCAACTGCCTATGTCTCTCTGTCTCAATTTTCTTGTTTGGAAAGTAGGAACAATACTAGGGATTTATGTGGCTCAGAAGAGATGATATGTGTGAGATAGTTGGGCAGTGCCTGTTACATTACACTCAGTAAGAGCTTGCTGTTGTCATTGATCTTCCAAAGAACCTCACGAATATCAACTCGTAACCAAGTCAAAGAATATATTTTTTCTTTCTCTTAAAATCTAGTTTCTTATTTCTTCTTAGCTTCTGGTTCAGAAACTATCTTCAGAATCCATCTGTGAATGAACAAGCATGTTCTTCTTTGAATATATTGTCTGACTTTTTCATGGGAAGAAGAAATGATTAAAATGTATTCCCCATCATTTCCAGTTTTCCATTCATATTCAGCAAATGTTTCCAGAGTTGTCTGCCATGTTTCAAGAATGCTTTTAGCCTCACAGTGAATCCAGGTTAGGTGGGACAAAAGGCAGTTAGATAGGCAAGGCTGTCATAATGTGGGAAGATTATGATGGGGGCTTGGGGGGCAGAGCTATTGCACAGCACATGGAAGGAATCCTTAATCTGATTGAAGGGGCCAATGAAGGGATTTCTGGGAAAAGTTATGCCTATGCTAAAACCTGAATGATAGGTTAATGATGAGTCTATAGAGGGCTGGAGAAGACTACTCAAGGCACAAGGTGGCAAAGGATGCTTGGCATTGGAAGAACACTGGGCATTCCATAACTATCAAGTATTTATCAATTAGTTACTATGCATTAGGCATTGTTTTTATTATGGGGCTACTCTGGTTAAGAAAAAAGACACTATTATTTTCATGGAAGTTATAGGGGGGAATTGAGAATAAAGAAGACAAATTCTATAAAGATAGGATGCTTAGCATAGCCTTTTGGATGAAGTGGCTGTCTGTGTGGGACCTGAATAATGAGAAGAAGACAGTCATGCAAAGATCTCGAGGAGGGTTTCAAAGACCTCAAAGGCAGGAACAATCTTGTTATGTAGGAGAAACTTAAAGAAGGCAAGTATGATGGTGTGTGGCAGGCACAGGGAAAGTGGTATGTATAATTCAGAGAGCATTTGAGTTGGATTGGACATAGAGAATGGCATACGGTATTCCTGGTAAAAACTAGCTTATTAGTAAGATTGTGGTAAGTATAAGGTCCCTGGGCAACAGTTTGTGCTTATCAGTTAATTGAAAGGTTGATGGTTTGAACCTACTCACTCAGCAATGCTGTGGAATAAGCACCTGGCTTGGAGGTTTCAGCTTAGAAAAATATACGGCGCAGTTCTACTGTGTCACCCATGGGAGCACCATGAATTGGAATGGACTCTTCTGTTGTGTTTCTTGTTATATTTATATATATATAACAAAACATTTGCCATTTCAACATTTTTTTTGCACATAAATTCAGTGACCTTTGCTACAATTATCAGGTTGCACAATCTTTACCAATATCCAATCCCATTTTTTCCCATCACTCTTAACAAAATCTCAGTGCTCTCTAAGCAGTTTTAAAATGTATGTACTACAGGGTTGTCTTGCTTTCGAAACTAGGAAAGTTTTGGAAAACTCCATTTGCAAATGTCTTTTCTCTGAAGTGGGCCTTGGTTCTATGTGTTTTAATAAATTAGATGAGGTGGAGAGTGTATTTCTCATCATCATTGACTAGAAATGTACGTAAGGAAAATGCTCTGTTCCAAGTGATACACATGCAAGTGACATAACAAAGGAGCAGGGTGGTCTGGCTCAATAAGAGGGCTCATTATGTTGATTACGGGTATCCCAATAGTTCCTCCTGGGTTCTAGCCATACATTTCTAATTATTTTCATGAATGTGCTTTTCTTCTTTCCGTCCTTTGGACTTAGGCTTGTGTTTCAAGAGTGCTTTAAATTCTTTCTCTCCACTTGGGGCTTACTTTGATGCAGGCTAATTGTCTCATTTTCCCAGAGTGTCTACCTCTGTATGGTGTGAGTCCCCACATGGGCCATGCAGGGGACTCACACATTCTTGTTTGCTTCCAGTTAACAGCTTTGGGGATGATGAAGAGCTGTCCACATCTTCTGATAGTGACGAGGAGGTGATCAAGCAATTTGAGATTTCTGTGTCCCGTTCCCAGAGTTTCCGATTTGGAGGAGCATTTGAGAAAGGAAAACAGACAGGTTTGGAGCTGACACCGAAATTCAGCTGTTTGCTCTCTAACCAAGAAGAGGATAGCACCGAAGTGTCTGCATGTGAAGGTATTCTTTGCATCAGTCTTTCCTTGATTTAAACCAAGGTACAGCCAATGTCAAAATGTTTTTGATCCCCTAACCAGTGCACTCTGCATCTGAGAACCCAGAGAGGGCAAGGAAATGAGGCAAGACCGAGCCTCTGGGAGAGGGCAAAGAGCAATGTTAAATCTTGTAAGGAAGCTGTGATACAGGCAATTGGGAGAGAGGGATGGATTGGATATGTAAGGTAAGCTTTGACCTGTGATCAATGGGGCCTTTTCCTTCCTTGTAAGGTAACAGATTGCCGTTGTTTTCATTCCAGTGCATGGTGACCTCATGTGTGTCAGAGAACTGTGCCCCACTGGGTTTTCAGTGACTGGTTTCCTGGAAGTCCATTACCAGACAACTTTCTTCTGAGGTTCCTCTGGATACACACAGACCTCCAGTTTGTTGGTTAGCAATCAAGCATGTAAATTTTTTGTACCACCCCGGGGCAGGTTGTTGTTGCTGTTAGGTGTCATTGTGTCGATTCCTACTCATAGTGGCCCCCCAACATTGTGGTCAGCAGTCCAGTGCCACACCAGGACCCCTTGTTCCTGCCTTTTTATTTTGCACACTAATGTGCTGTAGAATAAGCACGGGACTGCTAACCTCCAGGTGGACAGTTCAAACCCACCAGCACTCTTCAGAAACCCTATGTAGGGTCACTATGAATTGAAACTGACTCAATATGGCATTTACCAACAACAACAATGCTTAGAGCACTAGACAATAACCTCTTTAAGTTTCCATCTGATAAATCTAAACATTTCTCATACTAGTCCTCTGACATGGGTACTCTGCATTATTGTAGAGTTAATTTTCTATAAAAGTATATCTGGTGTGGTGCCGTAGGATAAGCTCCTGACCTCAAGGTTGATTTGAACCAGATGTTCAGTGGTTCAAACTCACCAGCCTCTCCTTGGGAACCATATAGGGTCACTATGAGATAGCACCAACTCGACGGCACTTAACAACAACTACAATACCTATATTATCTCTGAAGGTTTGTGTGAAACCTCTTATTAAATTATTTGTCTTAATAGAGCAACAACAGCAATGTTATTAAGCAGACTCCCTGGGTGGTGTCAACAGTGGATGCACTCTGTTGCTAACCGAGTATTGATGGTTAGAATCACCACAGAGGCACTTCAGAAGAAAGGGTTGGTGATCTACTTCTGAAAAACTAGCCATGGAAAACTCTAATGAGAACAGTTCTACTCTGACACAAATGGGGTTGCCGTGAGTCAGAATCAACTTGAGGGCCTCGTTATATTGTTAGGTGCCATCAAGACTGTTCTAACTCATCATCACTAGTTACAACAGACAGAAACACTGCCTGGTCCTGCACCATCCTCACAGTCCTTACTATATCTGAGCCCATTGTTTCAGCTGCTGCTTCATGCCATCTCGTTGAGGGTCTTCCTCTTTTTACCTGAGTAGAAAGTTAGCCTTCTACTTTATCAAGCATGATATTTTTCTCCAGGAATTGGTTTTTACAGATAACATGTCCAAAGAATGTGAGATGAAGTCTTTCCATCCTTACTTCTAAAGAATATTCTGGTTGTCACTTCTTTCTAGACAGATTTGTCTGTTCTTCTGACAGTCCGTGGTACATTCAATATTCTTTGCTTATACCACATAATACAAATGATTCATTTCTTCTTTGGTCTTCCGTATTCATTGTCTAACTTTTGCATGCATAAGAAAATACTATGGCTTGGGTCAATTACATTTTAGTCCTCAAGATGACATCTTTGTTTTTTAACATTCTGAAGAATTTTTTTGCAGCAGATTTTTCCAGTGCAAAAGATCATTTGATTTCTTGATGGCTGCTCCCATAAACATTGATTGTGGGTCCCAGTAAAATGAAATCCTTGACAACTTCAGTCTTTTCTCCATTTATCTTAATGTTTCTTACAATTGTGAAGATTTTTGTTCTGTCTGTGTTGAGAGCTAATCCATACCGAAGGCTGTAGTCTTTGATCTTTATTAGTAAGTGTTTCAAGTCCTCTTTGCGTTCACCAAGTAAACTTGTCACTTTCATATTAGAGGTTGTTAATGAGTCTTCCTTCAATTCTGATGCCATATTTTTCTTCATAAAACCCAGTTTCTTGAATTACTTACTCAGTATACAAATTGAATAAGTATGATGAAAGGGTACAACCCTGATGTCCATCTTTCCTGATTGTAAGCATTCTCTGTTCTGTTTGAAAGACTGTCTCTTGGTCTATGTAGAGGTTCTGCATGAACACAAGAAAGTATTCTGGAATTCCCATTCTTCAAAATGTTATCCATAATTTGTTATGATCCACATAGTTGAATATGTGGATGCCTAGTCAGTAAACAAAATGAATGCATTGTCAACAAAACACAGTTAAACACATCTTTCTGATATTTTCTGCTTTCACCCAAGATCCACAAGTTTTATTTTATTATTAAGGCAATAGTTATTTTTATCTTCCAAATTAAAGCATTTATTATGATTACATAGAACAAGGTCTGTGCCATCCTCTAGTAACTTTATGTTCAGTTGACTTACAAAATTGGTTTCCTTTAACAAAATAAGTGGTAGATACTCAGATGTAGGATAGACACTGTTTGTGATGGTAGATAAGGTTTCTTAAGAATCCTCCTCTTCACCCCAAAATAGCATGGCACAAGGATGCAAAAACAACCACACAAGATTTCTTAATGCTTTCTTGAGCAAATTTCCGGCATCTCTATGGCTCCATGTCCAGAGTCCTAACTAAATACAAGACATTAAAATAGGAAGATTCTGTGCCTTGTATTTAGTGAAAAGCTAGAGAAAATGTTTAGTCATTCACCTTAGTGACCTGGCTTCTCTAATCTTTCTTTGGCGGGAGCAAGTGGTCACTCAAACCAATGGGGCAGCAGTAGAGAGTGTCCCCCCCCCCCTTTTTAAAATGCTTAGCACTAGCAAGAGAAAAAGGGAAGTGTAAAAATTGAGAGAAGATATAAAATAAAAAAGAAGAACGTTCTGATTTTTTAAGAGGCAGGCAGCAAAAGAAAAACAGGTAGCACCGAAAAGGACACCCATATTTTTTCAATAAGACTATTATAACTTGCTATTTGTCATGCAGATTTACACAGACTAAGATAACATTTTACTACTAACCTTTGTTGCTCAGGGTAAGCCAATAAATAAATACCTATGGAACCAAACCACATTATCAGTCTATGTTGACCCTCAGTCATTTCCTCACTCTCATCCACTTTTCTCTTTCTCTGCTGTTACATCATAGAATTCTTCTCTTTCCATTGAGAGGACAAATGTTAGTTAGCTAATGAAAGCTATTAACAGCCTTTTCCTTGGAGTAGCTGGTTTAGTTCTAAAACTAATGGCCCCATTTCCCAGAAGCCCAAAGGTTTGGTTTTTGATTTACATAAATAGCCAATGTTTTGAGAGTTCTAACAGCCATGCTAACTTTACCCTTTCAGAAATTTATAGCAACTCACCTCTTGTCCTGACTGGTGATACTGAATTTTTTTGACAGATGACAAATGAAAGGTACATTTTTCTCAACTAGATAGAGAGGAAAAAAGCTCTGGTAGCGTAGTGGTTACGAATAGGGCTGTGAACCATAAGGTCAGCGGTTCGAAACTACCAGCCGCTCCGTGGGAGAAAGATAAGGCTTTCTACTCCCATAAAGATTTACACCCTCGGAAACCCTGTTACAGGGTCGCTATGGGTCGGAACCGACTCGATGGCACTTAACAACAACAACAACACATTGAATGAATGACCTGTAGCTATTGGAGAAATCAGCAGTATCTTTGTAAGAAAAACTGCATGCTAAATTTTAGGTTATCAAATGCTATGTTGTTTTTGTTGTTAGGTGTCGAGTCAGTTCCAACTCATGGTGACCCTAGCACAATAGACGAAAACACTGCCTAGTCAAATGTCATAAAAATACTAATACAGTTTTTATTGCATATTTTTTGTCATTTCTTTTTGCTAATTTTGATCAATGGATTTGTTTAAGCAACAACAACAAAAAATAATAAAGAGACTAAGCTTGCATCTCAGCATATAGGTTGAATAAGTATGGTGAAAGAATACAACCTTGTCACACACCTTTCTTAATTTTAAAACATTCAGTGTTCCCATGTTCTGTTCCAACAACTGCCTCTTGGTCCATGTACAGATTCCTCATGAGCACAATTAAGTTAATTGAGTTATGGTGTTAGAGGAGAATATTG